TAAAATGCACAGAGTGAAAACAACAACAGAAAACATAAAATAATCCTATCATAGGTTATGTAACTTACTCTAAGGCTTTGGTGCTCATGAAATTGATAATACAGGAAACTTGGTGAGAAATAAAGACCTCAATCCAGGGCACCAAATGTCTCTCATACACTTAATTATGTAAGTATTAGCAGCATGCTGCTAGTCCCTACTCCTTTGGTGGCTAGAAGTGCTGATATGAAAGCATTTTTTAAGGCTGTAACAATAGATTTGTTTGACTTCAATTCTGACCTTCCAGTGCATTTTCAGGACAGTGATTTTACATATCAATTTGTATGTTATTTGGGACTTTGAAGTAAATGACTGAGTTGTTGCTTACATAGTCTGAAATCATGCTATGGTCATTTTGGGTTTTTTTAAATAAAAATATTTGTCATACTGATTTATTTGGGATAATTTTAAAGACTCTCATGTAATGCCTATACCTATATAAACAAATTTGAATTCTGAAGTTTCAATTACGGCTCATTTTGCTATACCAGAGAAACGGTTTTCATTTCTGGTGAATCTTAAATTCATTCTACTTATTTAACAGTATGAGCTTCTGTTGCTGAAAAATATCTTTGACATAAACACCTCAGAGTAGAGAATTTGAGAAGATGCTTTCAGGCTGGAGCAACTTCCCAAGTGTTTCATTGAGAAAATGACACTTTTCTTACCTGGCACATGAGACCATTGCATTGATCAGGAGATCACAGCATAACTGGAACCCAATATTTCACTTTGAATTATTGCCAGGTACAGCAGCAGTAGAGACCTAAGAGCCCTTCAATTGCTGACATAACACTGTCATAACAGATGGCCCCTGCACTGCCTGTCTGCAGAGAAAACATGACAAGACAGCTACTTTCTATGGACCAAGGACATCTAACTTTGATTACTTGCCCAAGGAGACTTGCATAGTTTTGCCCATGCTAGGCAAGATCAGATGTGCCTAGGGTTTAGAAGCAAGCTGGCTGGTGTGCCAAAAGCTACTTGTCAGCCAAATAAGAGAGTGCCCCTCATAATAGGATGCAGACACATGTATTTGTCTGCTTTCATCAGTCAATTCCCCACTTAGACCTGGAGTTTTGATGCCACTGGGTTTTATTCCTTCTTTTCAATTTGCTGCATTAAAAAATCCGTTCTTTTTTCACTCAAGCTGCATTCTCTGCAGTATTAATCCTAACATGAAAAAAAATATTTGAATGCGTTAAAATTTTGCATTTCTTCTCTTTCAGGGAGTGTTAGGAAGTGCCATGAAACTACAGTTATTACAGGCAGGCATCCAGATCAACCCAAAGACAGATATCATGGCACTTTACTCCATAAAGTGCTTTGTCAGTGACTACTGTCAATCTGTTGCATGCAGTTGACTTTTCCAAGCTGTGGTGATTTTGGCTGAAGTAGAGTAAATTTTCTTCACAGTGGTTAGAATGGGGCTGTGTTTTGGATTTGTGCTGCAAACACAAGTGTTGGCATTTCAGGGATGGTGTAGTTACTGCTGGGCAGAGCTTGCACAGGGTCAAGGTCTTTTGTGCTTCTTGTACCACCCCACCAGTGAGGAGGCTGGTGTTACAAAAGAAACTGGGAGGGGACACAGCTGGGGCAGCTGACCCAAACTGGCCCAAGGGGTACATCCCCTCTACTTCCAAATCTTATCTTGTGACTGCCTTCCATATACCCACTCCCTTTCTCCCACAGAGTCCTTAGTGTTTCCAGCTTTCCATCATTTCCCCTCCAACTGGTTCATTTTGATCTAATAAACAGAGGATGAAGTCAAGAACAGATAAGCCCACTGGTTACTTGGCAGTTCCAGCAGACAATGGAAGCAGAGAATCCAGAGCAGAGGAGGCAGCTGTACTTCTCTGGCACTCTGGGTGAATCTCTCCTGAGTCCCTCTCTGCCTTCCAGTCAAGCACTTAAAGGCACTGTCATTCAACAGTTTGGATGTGGAAGAAAAATGCGACTGTAATGCTAATTTGGTTTATATTCTAAAACCCACCATCTGCTTTTCATTTTAAGATAATTCTACGCACAGTTTTAGATGCCTGCAGTAGCAGCCATGGGAATTCAGGCATATGGCTGCTACCATATGACAAAGTGTATTATCTAATAATTTCTAGTCTTTCCCATGCATCCATTTCTGCATAAAGTACTTCAACATAATAGGCATCTTATCCTTTAATTAATTCTCACAAAATTCACTTTCAGTGAAATCTTTGGATATGGGTACTACCTCTGCCAGCTGCCTGCCTCACCCCATTTCAGTCTCAAAGGTTTGTGAAACTTCCATAATTCACTTTTCCTGTCATGCTGAAGATCATAAGTAACTGAATTCCCGTGAGAAATATCAAAACATTGGATGACATTTTACAGTCTTAATCTGATCTGCACAAAAGTAGGAAAGTGTAGTTGTCTTTTCACGTGAGAATCTGGGGCAGATTTGTTACCTTCACCTCAATTAAATGTTTAGAACAAGATGTGTCAATATGTGCACAATAATCTGGACAGCAGGCCGTCTGTCTAGTTGAACCAAATGGCTCAATATTCTATGCAGAAAACAGGTTATGCTTACTTTTCTAGGGTGGAACAGGTTATGCTTACTTTTCTAGGGTGGGAGGAAAATACTATGGATTCTACTGAATTGGTTTTAAATACCAGTAGTTCCATAGGTGCACGCATGCAGGAAGGAATCTTGCTGTGAATGTGTGGTGTTTGATGAAGAAATGTGTGACAGGAAAGGTCCAGATGTGCAAACATGCCAAGAGGCAGGATTTTCAGCAGAACAAACCAGCTCAGTAAGCCCCATAAAAAAGGGGCAGAGAGAAAACGTGTGAGTGCCTGCAAGCATGTACACACATGCAGCAGAGATTTGTATATCCAGCTCATCTGTGGAACACCTTAAGACTCCAGTAGTTACCCAGCTCTATTCCTTGGCTGGCATGCAGTGTCCCTTTGCAGTGAGGGCAAGCCAGCTGACATGGCAATTAGATCTCTTGATTAGTGTTTCTTACACAGAAGTAAGAGATCTTCTCCCTTCTATTACTTCCATGCTCTCTTTTCCTGAGCATACAAAAGCAATCCATGTACCCTAAGATGGATTTGACCTTTCATGTGTTAAAGACCAAAATTCTCCACCCCACCTTCCCATAAAATCACTACCTTGGATGTTGGTTAAGAACTGAAGTTAAGCAGTTGCTTTAGAAAGAAATCAGTAATAAGCCCACTCCTTTTCATCTTCAGTACTGTAAAAACTAAACCCAAACAAGTACAGAAATATCCATAGGTTTCCTTAATCTGTTTATAAAGGATCTTCAGTCATATTAGGAGCTCATAGTAGCATTTCAAAAGCTAAATTTAAAAGCAGCTTTATGAAGTACTTATAAAGTCAGTGAGACACTTTTTATTTTTAGCATATTTTCCTGTGAGATAAAGATAATGAATGTAGAAAACATCCAAAGCCAAAATGAGACAGGCAAAAGAGATCCCACGATCTGCAGCAGGAGTGTTACAGAATCAGCATGTAGAGAGCAGTGTTCTGACAACACCATCTGCTCATTTGTACTGTTTTTGCCTATTACCAGCTCTCTCAATGTCTCATGCATGATTTTCTGTGGAAGTCAGGAGGACTGTATGATTTATATTGGCATTAATATTTACCAGGCTGGTGTATGCTTAAAGTAGCCAAGATTCTGAGAATGTTTGCTCCTTTAAAAAGCCATTGAAATGGCCTTCCTTTTTCTTTGGAGACATTAACAAGTTATTTTGTCACTTCCCTGTTACATAAAAGTCATATCCCATTCACATGGCATTAATTTAGGTAAATACCACTAGTTTTGCTCTTACTAGAACTGCAGACTGAAAGAAAAATTACTTTGGTTTTTAAGAAGCTTGCTGGCATTTTATGTTGGTCATTAAAGAACAGTGAAACAAAGTTTCAGGCTGTGAAACTTCAAATTCTTTACTATTAGCAATTTAGTGGGAAATCAAAATGCAATGCACTCCTGCAAAACTCATTCTGGACACTGAAAATATTATGATTTATTGTCTCTTCCTGAAACCTAAAACTGGTATTTCATTTGCATTTATTAACATTTAACAATTGTCTTGCAGATTCTGGGTAGGTAGCATTCCTGACATGTAAGACTTTTTTAGAGTTTTGAAGCAAGACTTACAAATATGGTTTGTGTACTCTGATGAAATACAGCAAAAGTGTGCACAGTCTCTGCATTTCAGATCTGTTGCATGACTGCATTACACGAAAGATTGATACTCTTTTCATCCAGAAATGGATTACAGAGCTGACATATTTCTTAAAATAACCATTATGGATGTGAATCATACTGACAAAAGCAAAGAAATCCCATTCAGAAAAGACATCTTGCCTCAGCCAAACATTCTCATGAATATGGATGGTTACATATGATTTATATGCAAAGGATTTTTTTTTTGATAGCTAGAAGTAGAAGCCTAAAATTTAATTTTTTCTCATTAGCAAAAAGACTACCAAAGTTTCATATCAGTGGTATTGATGCCCCACATGTATCTGAGGGGTTGCTCTTAAATAGCTCTGTGCTCTAAGATGGGGTCATGTGTTGTCCCTTATGAAGAGACACTGATATGCCAGGGCATGAATAGCAGACCAAACTCAGTGTTTGCAATTTTCTTACACAAGATTACATTACTTTTTGCAAGAATTACTTTTCCTAATATTTAAAGGACTGTGGCAAAAATGAAAGAGCTGTAGTGTACTGGAATGGAGCTTCTGTTGGTTAGTTAAATTAATCTTGATGCCACCTCTTTTTTTCAAGTTTTGAGATTTTTTTAAATTGATGTAGATATTTACTAATACATTAGAATAAGCTATTCAAGGTACAATAGTGTTTAAAACCTTTGGAAATTCATGTATTAGAAATACATATGTGCTGTAAAACATTACCTCTCCATCTTTTGTTTTCTAGGAGCTTCTGAAAGAACTTGTGACCATGTGCAGTCTTAAGTGCTGCAGTCCCAGAGCCCTTTTCCTGTTGCTGCTCTGTAGGTAAGAATTTGCTAAATTTTTTTATATAATTTGCTAAAAATACTATTTCTTCAATATATTATTATATCAGTTGGTTTCCAATAAATTTAATTATAATTAGAGACATATCTGACATAATCTTGACAATTGAATCTTGCCTCTTACAAAAATTAAAGAACGTGGGTATTAATAACAGAAAGACAGGACTGAGCTTCATGAATCTCAGCTGCCTTGATTAACAGATTTTTTTTAATTGGAAAGAATGGAATTTATGAAGCATATGAACCCTCAAGTAAAGGATTACTGGGTTCAGAATGAGTATTGTATCGGATGCTTAACAAATTCAGACAGACACTCAGTCCTTGCCTGGAGCATAGTGCCTTGACCACAGACAGAAGCACACACTCCACCTGGATTTACTACAAGTTTGAGACTGTAAAATCATCATCGTGCACTAAAAGGAGAGTATCTTAAAAAGAATTACCTATTTGAAACACTGTTTTATTCTCTGTTATGAAATCATGAAGACTTTAGGAAATTGGAGTTGCATTAAGCTGGAAAATGAAAATGATTCCCTCTGGCTACACATAACCCTTCTAACAGTACAGCTGCCATGACCAAAAATATAGAAATGGAGCACTTAAAATATATAATTTGCATAAAAATAGGCAAAAATATTGTTTAAGTAATTCTAATAAGAAAATGTAAGCTTGGACAAGTTAAACATTCTCATCACTACTTTCAACTGAAGTATTTAAAGTCTGTGAGCCAATTCTTTTTCTAGAATTGCCTAACCTTCATCTCACAGTAAGTTTCTCAGGATAAGATTCTGTCTGAGCTTTAACTCAAGTGGGTGTGCAAACACTCATTTAGACAAAGCTTTCTCTTAGTGATGGGAACAGGTGGAACAGTCCCCTGAAAATGAGTTTAGAGCATCCACCTCCCCCACCTTCTCCAGTCCTATAGAGACATCTTTGTCCAAAACACACACTTGCTCTAATTCCACCTTCTTTCCTCATCAGCTGTGACATGCCACGCTATAATAAGTGGATGAGTCATGGCTTAGCCATAATAAAGCACTGCTAAGAGACCAACAATTTCAGAAGCACCTAAGTAACAAGGAAACACAATTTCTCTCCCCAGGAGCTCAGCCTGTGGAACACAGTTCATTATTATCAGACAGACTTTGTGAATCCTGTAACAGCTTCACCTGGCTGTGAGTGCCCAGAAGCACAGGCCCTTCATTCCTGAAATCATCCATGGGGTTGGGTGCACACACAGCACCTGTGCCAGTGCCTGATGCAAGTGCACAGCATTGAGATGATGTGTCTGTGGTACCCAAATCCAGACACGGGCTGAGAAGCAGCTCTGGACCTTGGTTATCTCACAGACAAGATGATGCTTGGGTACAAATATGTGTTTTTCCAGTGCACAAATCAGGAGGGATCTGTGAAAGTGCTGTTTAAAACAAAAAACTACCCTGCTCGGCACTGAAAGAGAGAAATATTTCTAAACAAAACCCAAGGGCTGAGGTGCACCCAAAGCAAGGGCCATGATTTTTTGCCAAGTGGTCCCTTAGATATTCCACTTGTAAAAGCTCTGCCTAACATGTGAAGAGAATTTCTTCTACTGAATAATTTACAATCGGTAATGGTATGGGGTTGTTTTTTCCTTTCTATCTCTCCCTGCCTGAATGACACTTCTTCACTTCATTTAACATTAAATTACATTATAATCACATTATGGCCCCCTTTTTAGTATTAAAATCTATATCTGGGGACTTGCTAGGCTGTTGCTTTCTCAGATTTTTTTATTTCAAAAGTAGTAATCAAAAAATTGAGGCAAATTTATCATTATCAAGAATCAACTCAAGTAAATGTGTGCTATTTGGTCCGAAGGAGGGTTCCCATTTGTTTGAGATAGGGTGTTTGTAACATAAAGAATGCTAGCCTGGGCTTATGGAACCAGAGACAGAAAATTCTAGGAAATATTCTTTTTTTTTTTTTTGGCCTGAGCTTAAGAGCATTCATGGTACTTCACGCTTTGTTCTCGTGTCTGCTAACATGATGCTACATTTCAAACTCACCATTTAACCAAAAAAATGATGACAGCACTGTCTGTTTCAAAGCAGAGAATTAATCAGTGATGTAGCAGATTTTGCTCCAGTTTATCTGCAAAGATCATATAAACCCCCATATCACTGAGCATGAGTATGAAACCAGAAATAACAACTTTATTTGCATCTGGAAGCCCTTCACCTGTCAGTGAATTGCCTGAAAAAAGTTTTTTTATTCCTGTTTTCCTGAGGGGAGTGTTTCAAAAGCTTGTTTAGACTGTATTTGGCATTTTGTTTATCTTCTTGCAGTTCTAAGGTGTTTCTGTCTCTTTCATGATACATAACTTCTGACAAAAAATAGCCAGAAAAAATATTCTTGTATATGTGTCTAGACTGTACTTTTGCCTAAATAAATGGTATATACTACTGTTTAGGGCAAATGTTCCTTTCCCCCCAGTTACTCCATTCTGTTAAGACACTAGCTTGAAAGTACCTTAAATAACAAGCAGTTGTTTTACCTTTCAAGTTTAGCCAAACCCATAAAAATTCTCAGTTTTTGAGCCATAGGGATGACTTAGGAAAATAAATAATTGTAATTCAGCTTTTACAAAAGCAAGCAGAGGGCATTGAACCTGATGAGTTAAAGCGTTTATTATGCACTGACAGCCCAGAACAGATAGATATTCTCAACTGAAAAATAATTATATACTCAGATTTTTTCTGTAAAAGCCTGTTAACTCCTCAGTTGCTGGAACATCTGTTGAAAGGCAATTCCATACTCTGATGCATGCCAAGGTATTTCACATACATTACGAAAATGGAGGAACTTTACCAGCTTCCCTTAACTATAAAACATATATTTAAATATAACTGCACAAATATTGGCTAAAGGAGCAGTTTAGATGCATTGCTGAGAGGGTGCAGATGCATAAGTGGAGTGAGTCTCAACTTTTACTTTACCTTTGCAAATGTGTGCAGCTGTGAGCTCACTGTGGCTGAGCTGGGAGTGGAGCACGTGGATCAAAGAGCACTTTAAAGGAAACAGGGCATCATCCCTGAAAACGCAGAAACCCCAAACTGCTGAAGGCACAGAACCTCTCAGGGTTCCCTCTCTGCCAATCTGCCTCTGAGCATCCCCCAAGGTCAGCAGGCTGTGACACCACACACATTTAGGAGGCCTCGGGTTCCTGTCACTTGCTGGCTTGCTAGGACAGGACTTCTCCAAGGTTTTGTGGCCAAACAGCACACAGGGGACCGTGCCTCATTAATTCACAGCCTCAATTACACCACAACACCTTTCCCAGGCTTACTTGACCATAAAACTCAGTGGACAGTGATATGAGGCTACACATCGTGTGTTAATGAGGAAAATGATGAATTACCACAGGTCATTTAAGGGAAGGACTTCGATGAAAATTTTAAAGATATATTTTAGAAAATAGGGGTTAATGATAATGAACCAGATCATTCTGAAATTGCATACTGATCAGCAGAACAATGATATACCCTTGCAGTAGAAAAGAAACAAGTTCTCCTTTAACATTTCACGTCTAAACCTCATTCAAGAACAATCCAGTAAAGCTGTGAAATTTAAACTCATGCAGCTCACTGAACACTTAGCTAAAATTTATATGTAAATTACAAAAGGAGAGATATCTATTCCAAGTACAGTATTTAAGAAATTAATTACATTCAAATGAATTTCCAATTTTATCACTTCTTTGCAACAAAAAGCTGGCCTTATTTATATTTCACATCTCAGCATGACTGTGTTTGTGTCTTTAAGAAAAAACTTACAGGAGAAACTTCCCTTATTTCAATGCTGGCATTGCTCAAGGGTGTAAGTAACTCGGGTTACTTAAACTTAAGTAACAATATCATTCTTTCTATTTATATAGAAATAAAAAACAGGGCAAAAAAATAAAGGAAGAAAATAAGATCATTCAAATAGCTAAGATAATTGTGTTATAAGGCAGCTAATGAAAATCAGCTATTTTTGTGGCAATAGGGTCTGGTGAATAAAAAATTATACAGCAATAGCAGATTTTCAATCCAGTGGACACCACATTTAAAACCACACTGTGATTTGGCCACATGCATTCAGTGAGATCATCTTAGCATTTAATCTTTGCCAGTTTAAGGTACTGGATTATTCTTAGCGGATGAAAGTCTCAGTGTCCTGACAAAAGATCTCAAGCTTTCTCAGAAACAGCAAAATTGAAATTAAAAATATCAACCTTTGGAAAGGTACAAGAGACCCAGAAATATAATGCAGGAGAGAAAGCAGAGTTGTCAGGAGCAGCTCCAGAAAGAACTGAGGCTAAGAAATTCAGTGAGGATTTAGCACTATAAGGAAAAGACCACGAGACACTGGCAGCCCCTCACCTAATGATTTTTACTTAGATTCTTCTTCCTAGGAGCAAATCACCACGGCTACAGCTCTTGCACCTACTGTAGAAGTGCTGGTCACTTTTAGGGGCCAGTAATTCCCAGAGCAAGGATTAAATCTCCAGACCCTTTTCCTGGTGTTTATAAAGGTGCCTGCTCTCCATCAGCACAGACAAAGCCTCTGCCACCTGGGCTCACCAGGTCAAGTAATTATTTGCTTCCCACCTTCATAATTCATACTCCACCTTTCTCAAATCATTGGGAACAAATACTTGCTGCCATCTGTGCTTTAATTTCTGAAGAGCACAACCTGCTCATGGTCTCGGGGTGTCACCTTTAGGGTTAGGCAGAAAGGGTTTGGAATTATTGATACATAACTTCTATGGATCGTGTTTGTAGTTGTTTCTGAACAAAGGAAGTACTTGAATTCCCATTATGCTTCACTGATTTTGCTCAACAGGATTATTTCTGTAACCTGTTTAAAAATTGTGTTGTGAAAGCAGGATTTTAAGAGTGCTTTTATGCACTAGTCTCTGAGGTTTTCTGTCTCTGAGACCTAAATAAAATGTATTTAATTATGTAAAAAGAAGCTTAATTTTAAATGCTGAAATAAACAATCAGTATCCCTTCCACATTCCTAGATTATAGCCATAATGCCGTGTTTGCAGATAAAGTATTAAAGAAGATTGTTTCTCAGATGGAGTGTTAAGAAATAATAGACTTTAGGGTATAAAAAGAAATAGTCTTGGACTTTAAGGTATAAAAAGAAAGAATAAATTTTACGTTATAAAAGAGATATTTTTCCAATAGGAGACTAACACAGATTATGGAATCTGATATTTTTTGGAAGTTTTTTTATTATGTCCTTTTACAAATTCCTCATTTTCAATTCCTTTTAGGTCAATGCAAATTCCCGAAGCTGAAGGAAACAGTGAAATTCTACCTCCAACTATACAAAAAATAATAAAAGGGTACAACAAGTATCTACGTCCATTTTTTGATAGTAAGTAGAAAAGCTCTTTCAATGGGACTGAGTCATAACATAATGTGGTGTCTAAAGTTCAGCAGTGAGAACAAATGTTTTGGTTTTTTTTTTCCCCTGTTATCTGACAGCCACTGATCTGATTATACATGTTCTGTGATATAATAAGATAGAGTTTAATAGCTTTTGTGGCCCAAGGTGAAACTTGTATATTCCAAGTACTTGCAAGCTAAACTTCCAGACTGTTAGAAAACTTGACTATCATTGTATGTGTGTCTTCATGAAATAAGCTCTAACATCTTACCTATTTAAAAACATAATTTCCTCTAATTTCTTAAATAATAGCTATAAAAAGCTTTGATTAAAGATTTAAAGCTTTATATATCAAGCTGTTCATAACAGCACAGGCAAATCTTGTTACTATGCAAAGTACTATGTGCCTTAACTATAAGATTGCAAGAGAATTATTTAATAAATTATTCTTGCCTCATGTCTTAAAGGTCACTGAAGAGATTTACTAGAAATTGTGGGGGGAAAATGAATTGAAAAATGGAAAATTAATTTTAAAAGCCAGTTCCCTGCATCAGAAGCCAATGGTCACCAAATTGGAAGCACATAGTCTACTGCATTAGGGGTGATTTTACTGCCCTGCAGTGCAGGCAGGCACCTGAAATCTCAGTGAAAATCTTCTTCCTTATTTGAGTCAGATATTGCATGTATCAGAAGCACTGAGGAGTTTCGAAGTGGCATGAAGAGCTTGTCCTGGAGAAAGTGCAGAGAACTGAAGAAGAAAATACTCTGAATGTTGAAAAGAAGCTCAGCACCATGTGTCTGTCAAAAAATAAACTTGTAGCATGAATACTAGGCAATAGTTCTTAAGTTAGATGTTTGGAAGTGTCAGAGGTGTGAATGTCAAATGAATTATTTTATATCTCTTTATATCCTTCTTAAAAATTACTTATAACTTAAAAAATTGACTAATGAGTTTCTAAGACCATACTGTTACCTCTTGCCATCCAAATACCTGGTTCAATATGGATGCTCCATATCATGTGCCATTTCTGAATCCATTTATAATAATTTTAAGATATACCTGTATTTTCGATTGAAGAAAAAGGGGAAAACTATTTAATCTGTTTGTTTTTTGGTTATTATCTTAGCTGATTATAAAACTACTATAAAATATTTAATACTCAAAGGGGATTTTCAGCAAAATAAAAGTAACTTTAATAAATAAACTGGCCCTTCCTCATTGGAGATGATGCATAATGTAAAATAACTGTGTTCAGTGGCCATTAATATATTTTATTCATTACCTCATGTTAGTACTAGAGATATGTTGGCACTGCATGATGAGTGTGCTTGGGTAGCCAACAGAGTTTCATTTCCAAATCCTCTAATAATAATAATTAAGACCATAAAGCATATTTGAGTTACAAATCTCCCTTTTATTTGCTCATTCTTTTTTCCTCAGCTGTTGTATTGCAGCAAAGCTATATTTATTTTTTTGTCTGGGTGTTTTGTTCAGAGGGATGCCAAGGTCTCTCAGGGTGTGCCTAGGAAGGTCCAGAGGAGCTCAGGCACAGATCGAGTCTGTGTCACACACAAAGCCAGTCTCACAGCTCCAGACAGTGCCAGCACTGCTGCATATGCTCACTACAGCTCAGGCATGCAAACACTGCCTCAGAAATCTTTGGTGCATCTTTATTAACTCTAGTGCTGGAGGAATGAGATGGCACTCCAAAAAAAGTACGTTTTATTGATGCCACTTCTAAATGCAGGGTTGGTGGTTTAGTGAGAGATTACTTTCTTTGTAGGAATAATTTGAGTTAGGATGACTCAGGCAATGCTTCTCTTGATTTTTGAACCTGTAGCTTTTTGTGAGATCGTTTGGGATCACTTTCCCTGTTATAGAGGAATGTGTGCTTGGGCTGGGGAGTGGTACCAGCCTAGTCCTGACCCCTCTGTGTTACTGGCAGGGTGGGATACACTGTGCATGACCCAGGAGAAGCTATTGCTCAGAAGCAGAGCTAGCTGTGGGAAGATAGGCTGTAAGCACAGTGCAGGAGGCAATCTTTCCTCAATGGATTACAGCTGTACTGATTGCCCAGGAGTGGAAACAGCCTTGCCTGCCCAGTGAGGATGGTGTTATAAAAGAGAGGGTTATAAAAGCAGAGTCTGCTGCAGTTTGGGATGGAGTCTGCTGGCTGTGCTGTGAGCAGGACACACAGCTGTGCGAGGGACAGACAGGGTTAGGGACAGGTTGGGGTTAGCCAGTCATGCAAAGGAAGGAAACTTGCAGAGAGGAGGGAAGGGATCAGAGCTAAGTGGAGCTGTTGTGAGGAAAGGAGTCAGAGCTGCCTGAAGGAAATTCGTTGAGAGAAGGTATGAAAAGTTTTTAATAAAGGATTGATGATGGTGTCAGCTCAGTCCATCACGACATAATTACTACACCTACCAAACCACCTGAATCCTCAGTTTAACAAACCTGTTGAATATATTTACTGTGTGACCACAGCTATGCTAGCTTTGCTCCATGAAATATTTTCCTGACTTATATGGTGTTTTTTTGCCTGCAGCTGGTGTACCTTGTGTCTCTTCTTGGTAACTGGCTTTCCTCAAAATAGCATCAATGGCAGCAGCAGAGCTGTCAAAGAGCTGATGAAGCAAGAGCAGTAATTAGTCATTGATACCTCTTCTGTGACTTCCCCCTAATCCTTCGTTTCTTTGGAATGATAATTTTCTTAGTTTCTTCGGGATGATATTTTCATGTTAATAGTGAGAGGCAGACCAGTTAGAGATGGATCTCAAGGTCAAACAGCTGATTAGACTCGAGTAGGTAATGAACAAATGCACACTGAAAACATAAACTGGGCTGTTCTGGTAGAGATCATCAGCTGCTGTAAAAGCCTTGATTGTGCAGCCTAACAGTGATGATGTACTCTGAGAAAGAGACTTGTATTTCTAGAAATATGAACAGGAAAAGATGGATATGCACCTGACAATCTATGTTTGCTGCCTTAAATTAAAGGATTTGTATAAATGGGAACCTAGTATGTGCATGTTGATATGTAGAAATATCTCCCCAAAATATGCTAAAGCCAGCCTTTTTAAGACATTTGGCTTCCTTTTCTTTAGTTTTGGCCAAGATTCGTCTGCTTTCAAAAATGTGTATTTCTGTTTATTAGTTCAGTTAGATACACAGTCATAAATATGAAGAAATGAAGAAATTTGTCATAAAACTAGGTGATATTATTTGTTGGCATCTACAGTGCTTTAAGCTTAACGTTAGTGAGTCATAATGGAATCTGAAATGGAATTTTTATCAGTTATGAGAGGGCCAGAGGTGAGCTTAAATTTTAGAATAAACTCATTTAAAGTGGTTTCAAAAAGACTTGTCCTTGGAGATTTTCTTTAGGCAGGAAATGGCAATTTTTGATGTGATGATTGCTGCCAAGATACAATCATACTCTTGCAAAATCAGACACTGAACTCCTTAATATTTAACAAAATGGGATTTTAGTCCTGAAAATAAAGTTAGGTATAAACAAATGTTCATAAAATGACAGCTCCTTTCTCCTAAAGCCAGAAAACCCAGAAATATTTACTAGTCAAGTAAAATTTATGGCAGCTCATAAATTTTTAGTTTAATAAGTCCTCTGTTTACTTGTTAATTTGTGTTTAGTCTTTGTGCTAGGACTGGCAGATGGCTGGAAATGTCCAAACCACATACCCCAGCTCGGATGGTGTCATTAACAAGGGGATTATAAAGAAATTTTTTTTTTTTTTTAGTCCAATGACTGCGTAACAACATTAAAACTGTCTTTTCCTCTCCTTGCATGGATTTAATCCACTGCTTTTCTAGGTTTTAATTCTGAATTTATCTCACCTTACTTTGGCCACCTCCTCCTGCACAGATCACCTCCCATACCCTGGCTGCATAAATGTTGTGTGTGACAAACATTTCTGTGTAACACAGGCTGTCCTTCCCATCCCTAAGCACCTAAATCGGGTGCCCAAAGTCGGATTAGTTGAAGACAGCCTTAGTATGTCAGAGTGCAGACAAATAAAACCGGCAGAGTGTTTTATGTTTGTCCATGGTGGGTGGCATGTGCCAGCTCACAAATTGTGAGGGTATTTTAGACACTTTTAGCACAGGGGAATCTCAGCTGGGCTGATTATTCAGCTCTGCCCTCATCTGAATGTTGCTATTAAGAATGTTCTCTTATCTATAGCATTTTAATGTCCCTCTTTGAGCTGGTCCATCAAGCAAGTCTTCATAAATTAAGCAGATAGGTGCAATAAAGAATTAGAAAAACCCAAGACCCTAACCTGGAATGATTTTAACCATTCTTTGGACTGGAATAAGAAATACTCCTATACTAATGTTAGTAGATATTACTCCTCAATGTAATAATATATGGAATGTTTCTATAGAAAAGCTGGCATAAGGGATTTAAAAATCAACAGTTATTTCCCTTAAATGTGCTGTGTTACCCTGACACTTTATCTCAGCAATACAAGTTGATTTCCACCTCAGGTTTTCTGCTGGAACCATGTAGATCAATTTTATAACTTTGTGCTGTGCCAAACTCTCTGAATTAATGAGCAATTCCTGCAGACTTCAGTGAGCCTTGGATCGGGTTCATAGGGCTGTTAAGGGATGCATAAAATCTGGTAAATAATTTTATACAAATAGATTTTGTTCTGTGATTGAATGTGATAATTTAAGTGCTCTAATTAAAAGGAGAGAGACTAGGAAAAGGTCACAGCTAAGTATATTTGAATATGAAAGCTGCTTTCAAGTGGTATAGAAAAGTGTCATGCTTAAATCAGTTATTCTAAATCACATTTAAAACATATTTCCCTTCGCTTCAAAATTAGTAATACATTTAATATACTTAAATTTTAAATTAAAGTAAAGAAAATGTTGGGGTCCAACCTTCTGTCTAAGACCTGTCATCACGTTTTTTCCCCCTCATATGTTGTTTATATTAAGGTCTATAAATTTAATTTTAGTCTTCAGAGATGACTGAAAGCTGTGTCTAACACCCTTTGGTTTAGTGAGGCAAACTCACAGGGTACATGAGAAAGGAATGACAAATAACCATCATCTAAAGACTATTTTAATTCCCAGATAGTCAATATCTAATACTTTACAGAAGAGCAAAAAGCCCAGGATATGTAAACTTCAGCATACACGTGGTAATGGAGATTTCCCTTCCTTTCCCAGGGAACTCAGAGACACTTATGGGCATCTGATGGCCACCAAACCCAGGTTCCTGCATGCAGGACAGTTTGGAGTTTGGTTTTTGGATTCTTCCTTGCCTCTCCCACCCCTCCAAAGGCTTATCTCCAGAGACTCTAAATTATAAATAGTGGTTATGTTCAGATAGTAAAAAGATCAATTAATTTGAAGTTTCCTGTTGGCTCCAGTTTCCATAAACTGGGACCTTACTTGGCTTTGCCAAACAACATGCACAACTAATACTATATGCATTTTCTGACAGTGGACAAGTCACCTTTCTGACTTCTTTGAGGAGCTGAGTAAACAATGCTCCTTGACTTTTATGTTACAAGATTTGATATTAAGCTTCTGGATTTTTTTGTCTTCTGGACTATTTCTCTCAACTAAATTGTGTCTGCGGTTTGCACATTTTATTTAAATGTGGAAAACAAATCCTGTCACAGTCATAACAGTCTTGCCAACACAGAATAGATTGCAAGATAACTTAATTCTGTGCATTACCCCCCATTGCAAAAATGCTGCTGCCAAAGCATAAGATGGAAAGAGCATGTTAAAATGATTATCTGTGACAGCCTCTGAATCCTTCTCAAAGGCACTGCTTGCTAAGATAATTTCCTATCCTGTATGTGTTGCCTGTCTTATTTGTCCCCACATTAATTGCTTGCATTTGTGCATGGAAACGTGGAGGTTTTGACAAATGATTTAACAAGCTGTAGTTAATGTGGTCCCCACCAATTTTTGTCTTGTTCACAAACTGTACCAGCAAAGCAACATCAATGTCTAAAAATTATTAATGGAAGCAAATAGGATTGAAACCGATTTGTGCTAGAAATGGATCTGTCTTCTGATACCTTCAAATCAAGAATTACAGTTGAGGTCTGTCAGAGGGCCTGTCTTAACCTGTCCACTTTCTTCATGTAACTATTTGTCAAGAAAGATGTCTTGTGTCAGGAAGTTAAATGCACTGAAAAAAATCTAAGCATAATATATCTCATTATGTAAGAATTCTGTAATACTCCAAAGCAAAGCTGGCAATTGGAGAGACAAAATGAGTTTTTTAGAAAGCTGCAATGAGTTATGCCAGTGATAATTTTCCATCTAATTCTCTGTTTACTTGTAATATTTTATCCAGTATTGCTGAAAAGATGAGACATTCTTCCAAAAAGCCATTCCTTTTGAGGCCTTTCTGAATGTCGGAATTGTTTTGAGTTTTCTTAAACTAAATTAAAAAGGGTTAATGCTAGCAGCTCAGCACTGAAAGTTATTGATAGTGCTGATCTGTTGCAGTAGTAGGTACACTTGTCACTCAGTGGTGGTTTATTTTGCTGCTACACACTGGGCTTATTGCAGAGATCCAAACTTAATTTTTAGGTATTCTATCTGCCACCCTCCTGGCTGCTTTCCCATTTGGGATCACTATGAGTATTTATAAAGGGCATAAAGGAGCAATGTTCACAAGTTGCCGTAAAATTAAAAGGTGTGTTGCTTGGGCTGCACAGCCACTGCTGTAACAAGGCACTGCCTTTGGTGATCCTCTGCCATGCTTTGAAGATTCCCTTCAATAATGCAGGACAGGATGACTTCAGTTTTCTTCTGAAGACTTCTGATGTTTTCATTATACATACAGCTTCTGCCAAACATATGGAAATGTGGGGACTGACTGCCTCATCTGGTTTGCTGCCCAGTTTTTGACACTGTCAACAGGAGACCTTTCAGAGGAAGTTCAGAAGAAACCCTGGTGAATAATTATGAGCAGACTCTTTCTGTTATTAATACTTTAAAATTTATGATGCCTTACTAAATAAACATTTATCCTCTCATGCAAAAAAGAATTTAACTATTAATGTTGTTCAGATTTAATTAACTGCTGGAGCAAAGCTGTTCTTCTATCTTGTATCGAGTTAATAAAGATCCATTCCATTACAGTTGTTTTCCTGCACAGCTCCTCCCATACAGCACTTTGCTGTATCTGGGGTGATGTAATTTTCTTCTGGGTTTTGTGGGTTCTGGGCAGGACAGGCTGGGTGCACTTGGGCAGTGAGAGCTGCTGGCTGGGGTGAGTGGAGCAGGATGGTTTAGTCCTGACTCTGCAGCCGGTCCTTGGCACTTGAACCCCAAGGCAGGTCCGTGTTCAGTCAGTTTGGGCTTGAAGTGCATCCTAACGTGAGCCAGATGTCTTGTGGTGCTTGGGAGTCACCCAACACTGCAATGCTGTTGTGGTACTCAGTAATATTTTGAAAAATACTTCAGCAGGAAAGAAAAAAAAAGATCTACACTGTCCTGCTTGTCTTCCAGATTCCAGAGAAATAAACCCCTGCTTAATTTCACTAATCCTTCTGGAAAATCAGTTTCTCTTCTCACATGTGTAAAACCTAGCACTGATACTGAAATGCTGCCAGCAGACATTTCCCCTAATCTGTACCACCTCACTAGGCAAGGATAGGTGTTGCTCCTACTAATAAATCATAATATAATAGGAAGACTCTGATTATTCCCAGCCATTATTCCTGCATAATCATCTAAACACTGCATTGTCCTCTCCTTGGGCTGGTGCATCATTAAGCCTTGCTAGACGGGGTTCTCCCTAAATGATCATGTGATAGTTGGCTATAATATGCTCTGTTACAGTCATACACAGGAATCTCTAGGGAGACATTAAAAAATCAGAATATGGATTATAAATCACATTATTTTAAAATCCAAATTTTTTTTGAGGGTGTGATGTATCTTTTAAGGCTGGCAATATTGTACCTGCAATAATGATATAGTACAATGATAAGTATAAGCATTAATTTTTGCACCCTGCGTATCTGGGATAAGTTTCATAGGGGTTTAGCTTTTAATCCTGGAGGGAGAAAAAAATAAAAGTATCATGGCATATCAAAAGATGAACAGAATGGAAAGAAACAGAAGAACAACATGTCAATGATCTGAGGTTTTTTTCAGTCAATTTTATTCCAAAGTTAACCTCCAAAGTCTTCTTTCAATATATGAACAATAGTTTCTAAACCCTATGTATAATTTAATAGTATAAAATAAACACTCATGTTACCAGCAGGGCATGCTGCAAACCTGCAGTCCCATTTTAAGCTGGAGCATTATATTTAAACTTGCAATGGAGTCCAGAACAAAGGACTTAAAGATTTTTTTTCAGGTGTGGGAGATGTGTAATGATTTTAACATGTGCCTTATAAATAGAAAATATTTTAGAAAAAATAAAAATACTAATAAAATTATGACTTAGAATGATGCATTTTTGCTTTAGTGTTACTCAGTTGAGTGGAGTAGGACTCCATGTTTCTCTGGATGCCATTTGGGGCCCTACAGGAAATTTCTACAAAATGTATTGCAAGGAGCCAAGAGAGGCTTTCAGCTGTGTGCCTGTGATATAGGGGCACTACCAGCTACAGAGTTCTTACATAAAATATTCCTGCATTTCTCAGTACTGTGCTCTCTTCTTCTCAATTGCTTGGAAAGATGCACTGATTTAATATTAATTTCCTTGTACAAGCACTCTATTAATTATTCTGCACATATTCAACCAGGAATAATGTCATGTTTCTGTCAAAGCTCTGCACAAATTCTGCATTTTAAAATGCAGAGCTGGTGATCTTCCAGTGTGAAATGCACATTCAGAAAGAAATGGGAATCTGAGCATATTGACATTACAATAACAACTACTTAGGTAAGGTGTTTAACTACACTGCTCATGGCAGGTTTTCCTTTATAAATGCAAGTATTTAAATCACAAGTTTACTGCTAGTGGTCAAAAGCAAGATAGTAATTGACATAATATATACCACAAATTCTTTAAATAGGCACTAAAGAAAGCCACTCAACTCTGCCATCTGGATATTAACCACAGGACACTGCCAGGTGTAAAACTTCTTACTTTACCCACATCTGATGGACCAGATGTTGCAACTGGAAGAATTCTTTCCACTGCTCTGCACCTCAGAGCAGAAGAGTTTGATGCACTATAGGGATTGGGGATTCCAAACCTTATTGCACAACATTTTCCCCAGCATTTTTTTTCTGGGGGGAAAAAAATCACATAAACCAGGAAATATTTTAGAAATAAAGCTTGTTACTGAAAATTAAAATAGGTTTAGTTGAGAAGCATAACTTTTGGTTAAAAATGTGAAAGTTCTTGCATAATCTGTGTTTGAAGACTATTTAAGAATGCTTCTAAACATTTAGGAAAAAAATGGAAAGATTTTGTAGGTAGTTCCTGTGAACACTGAATATTAACGAATTATGAATAACATTATGACTTTCTCTTTTTTTTTTTTTTTTTTTTGCAGATGGTCCTGTGTCAGTTGGAATGAGTATGGATATTGCAAGCATTGATACAATATCAGAAATAAATATGGTACTGTAGTTTTTGCAGTCTTTTTTTTTGCTTGTTGATAAGCTGATGTCTGTGCTTACAGCTGTTGGCAATATGACTTTGGGCTTGTCTCCTTGTGAAGTCAATATGGGTTAGGAGATGGAATTTTCTTTTTCACTACACAGTGTTTATAACACTATAATAAGCATAGAAATGCAGCTGCAAATTCCTCCTCTCACAGATATAAACTGCTACTTATTAATCATAATGAGTATTAATGTTAATGAGAAGCATGTGGATCCGTACTTATTTTCCAGCAGAAATGTCTAAATCTTTATGTATTTCAGAAAAATAAAGATATATTCATGTGCCTTTGAAACCCCTCCTTCCCTATGATTAGACACAGCTGAACTCCAACTGTTTTTCTCCTCTATTGTTGCTGTCACACAGTAATTCATTCCAGCTGTGTTTCATTTAATTTGTATCATTTGTTTTTGAACAAACTATGAAATGGAATGTACTTTTCTACTTAAAGATTCTCCATTTGTACACAGAAGTTAAAAGAAAAAAATAATTAATCAGATATTAAATATAAGTATATTAGTAATTATTAGTTACTATTTAGAAAGAGTAGATAAGGTCATCAATTCAGATGAATTTATAATATTAATAAAAAACACACCATAAAATCAAAAGTTGTTTTAAATGTGTTAAGAAATAGTATGATCTCAATGTAGGACTGCAAGGCATGTCTAAATTGAAAGGGACTTGGACTGAGTGCTATCTTCAAGGTCTTGATAAATTTGGTGCCACTGTTTCCTTTGTAATGCTAAAAGGAAAAATTGTGTTAGAAGATTCCTTTCCTTTTTCAGGAACTTCTTTTGTCTATCTGAATTTATTCAACTTTTTCCAATGCGTTCTTAAAAATTCTTCATTTATTAGCTTATGTGAACAAAATGAGATTTGGAAGCACTCACATAAATCATTCTAAAACTTAAAGGTTTACAGAGCCAGATTATCTGCTTACAAAGCTCTGATGACTTCAGCTGATTTATAGCCCCAGACTTAGGCCAGCAGCTTTTACTGTAAATGACCATAAGAACAAAATCTACCAACCTCACAAAGAGCGCTAGAAAATTTGGCAGAGCAAGATTCAGTACAGCTGCTCTTGGAGTGCCAGGGACATGGAGAATCACAGTTTGTGCCCAGCAGCTCTTTCCATATACTTCTGTAAAAGAGAATACTCTCCCTTTGTGTGAAAATTTTGTTTTTTCTCCTTCAGGACTACACAGCCACCATATTTCTAAGGCAGAGATGGACTGATGAGAGACTTTGTTTTGATGGTAATAAGAGTTTGAGCTTAGATGGTCGACTCGTGGAAATGCTTTGGGTACCAGATACCTTTATAGTTGATTCAAAAAGGTCTTTTCTTCATGATGTCACTGTTGAGAATCGTCTCATAAGGATATACCCTAATGGAACAGTCTTGTATGCTATAAGGTATGGAAATACCCCATATCTGCCCTCATGACTGCATCTACTTACATTCTAAACTTTACAGGTTCTGATTAAGAAAAATGGGTCTGTTTGTAAAAGTAGGGTCTTGCAGTTTTATGAATATGTAATATTCTTGATCAATATGAATAAATTCTTAAACTTAGCAATAGATCTTCTTCCCTAAATAGACCCTTTTGCTTTCATGCAGACTGAAGACAGGAATTTGCATGTTGCCATTCCAGTTTGCAATGAAGCCATCACAGGGGAAAACAAGCTGTGATGACTGACTCGCATGATTTATTGTTAATTACCCTTTGTAAAGGTTTTTATAAATATAACAAAATCTTAAAATATATTGCAAAAATAAAGAAAAAAAATGTGCACTCTAAGTGAGAAGGGAGCAAAGAGTGGCCTTTTTAGACTGTCACTGAACTCAGCTGCTCTGCAGTGGTTTCTGTTTGGGATTGTATTACTCTTGTACATTAGATACCAGTAAATAATAGATTTTTTTTCCTCACAATAGATATGAAGCTGAAAAAATTATTTCAAGAAGGATACATGGCATTTTTTATTTTACAGATGAAAAATGTTGTCCCATTAATACTTAGAAAAGTGTTTTTTTTCCCCAAGGGTCACCACAACTGTTTCATGCAGCATGGATCTGACTAAATATCCAATGGATAAGCAGACATGCACTTTGCAACTGGAAAGCTGTAAGACACTTAATCCTTATTATTTTTATACAATTAGAAAAATATCTGTGATGTTTTTCTGCTAGATATTACCAGAGTGGCTGGAATTTTCACAGAAGGCAAGGGAGATTATGTGGCCGGTTCCTGTTGAATTTCAGTGGTATCTGTGTGTAAAGATGTGTGCACATATGTGCACATGACACCACTGGAAATAGCATGGCAGTACTGAAATGCTGCAGTGCTAATTAATGATTGAGCAAAATCCCTGGAGATTCGCACAGGCTTGGTTTTGCCGTGCATCCTGCAGTTACTGTCTTGGTCTTCAGAGGGAGTTCTGTGAGCAGGCATTTTCTAGCAAAGATGAGAAAATTTCCTCTTCCCTTTCAGAGAGTATGTAATTTTTTCCCCCTGAGATACAATTCCTTTAGGAAAGAAATAAATCAGAATAAGGCTTATTTGTAAGGCATATAGTTCATATTTTATAATTTACTGTTTTCAGATCTTGCTCTGACTTATTTGTCTCTGTGTCAGTGGCCTGGTAAAAAATGTCATCAATTGATGGATAAGAGTAAATATTTTTTTTTCATTTTATCAATCATATTTTCTTTCAAATACGTTCTCTAGCACTTGTAGACATGGTTACTTTGCAAACACACAAACATGCCCTTTTGTAGTTAAATGTTTGCTATTATTCATATGACAAGACTTCAGAAAATAATTTTTGCATGGGATAACGTAGAAGAATAACCAGTTCTATAAGATGAAAATATATATTTAACATAGGTGTCAATACATGCTTGAAATCTTTTGGAAGGCTTTTTGGTACTTGTCAAGTTTTATTCTGTATCTTTTCAGAAATTATGTGTTGTTCATCTCTTGTCGTTAATGACTAATTAAATTGCCACAAAGTTTCATTTTAGACAGAGACAAAAAGGAAATGAACCCAAAACCTTCTTCCCATAAGTATCCCTCCAGAATAATCAGTTTTATGAGATCTGTTTAACAAACAGTGATTTGAATTGGAATTAGGATTTATCTTTATTTTCCTTTGAAAGAGTGTATTGGTAAATCAGTGTGTATGGATTTAAATCAACAGCACTGCCTAATGAGTCATTTAGTAGTTTCCCTAGTTCCAGAATGAAATACATATCCCACAGGAATTTACAATTTATTTGACAGGATTAAAAAAAAACAAAGAGGAGAATTCCCCATATAATTAAATCAAGCATTTTTCAGATTGATTCCATCTGCTTTTTCAACAGCACACAAGTGTCTCCTGTCCAAGGGGAAAACCCAGTTGTGTCACAACAAATGCTCCCATTACATTGGTGTTTAGTTTTGAGGAAAACAGATAAAAGCAACAAATATGAAAAGGAAAATATGCCTTGGGCTGTGGCCTTTTTTTCATAAATGCACTGCAATCCTTTCTTTCGAGTAGGCTGGAAATGGGGTTTTTTCCCCATGTGATAAGCTATGTTAATTTATAGATGAATAATATCATCCTCCTAGCATACTGCTTGCCAAGGCCATTACCTGGGTTTAAAAATTGTGAATGCAGACATACACACACATCTGCACAAATATTGATGCTTATAAATCAGAAGTAAAATCTATAGCAAATATTTGAGCTAAACAAAGAGTTAGGCTTTTATTAAGTGATTATTAATATAAAGACAAATATGTAGTGAAATTATGAAGTAATGGCTTTACACAATAAAGCATCCCCAGTGACCTTCCCAACATACTTTTCTGTTATTGCTGGTTAGTAACTTTAATTGGCTTGTACTTTCCACAAAGCAAAACACATTTTGGCAACATGCCTGTTATGCTTTTTCCCCTTTATTGCAACACTTTAGAAGGTAATGCTGACATATGTTAAGAAACAGAGACTTGCCACTCTGAGTCTCTGCTGATTTGGGTGCTGTGACCTTTGGGAAAGTGGGGGGTTCCTTTCCTGTCTGGTGCTGCCGTGTGGCAGGGAACACCACCCTGCATCCTTGCTGGACTGAAGGGTCTGTCCTCACATTTCCCTCACACAAACCCCCAGTCCAAATACATATTCATGTCTTGGGCCCATCTCTGAAATTTTCTTTTTGAACTTGTCCTTTACCATTTATTCAGTGAAGAGCCATGTGAAGGCACTTAACTTGTGCTTGACAATCAGTGAAAATTAAAATTAGCAACAGAAAGGTAAAGAAACTAATTTGTATTAGGCATTATGAATGTTTAATCCCAAATTTACTATTTCTGTAGTTAACCCTGTTGATATTAGCAGCTCATACTCTATCAACAATGTACAGGAATGAGACATTCTGGGCTTGAGGAATTAACTAGGATAAAAACTCGGGGTCACATAAAGAGAATAGAGATTACTTGTAAAAGCCAAATAACATGGGCTTAAGGATTTTGTCTCTGTAAACTTTTGAAATGTTTTATAATTAGTAAAATATTAATCCCTTGAACAAAGAATAACTTTGCACAGAAGGAGCCCTGTACTATTTAACTTTACTGACTATTGGGAAAGCTCTCTCAATAAAAATTCTTCTTAAGAGTTTTGGAATTATTATGCTCAAATAATTTTCATAGGAAGGATCACACAAACCTACTAATTATTCCACTAATGAGAATATTTTGGAAGAAAAGCAAAAGAAGCTCTGTTTCAAGATATGCTCGTTATCATTCATGTGGGTACCAAGAACTTCTGTCTCACACAACTTGGAAGGCTGAATATCTTATAAAACAAAGGAATTTACTGTGGTGCTCTCTAGTTCTTTGGATTTTATTTAAATGTCTGCAGTTCATTTATATTGAAAGGAAGTAAAATGAATCCGTGACCGGAATCATGCATAAAAACTGGTTTTATGAGCCTCCTTGTTTTGACTAAGGACAATGCAATCATTTGTTTATAGAAAATGTTACTTCTATTTTACATCTCACAAATCTGGGAAAATTCGCAGCATGTGGTTTTAGGGAATTGAAAACTTAGCTTGGATGCATATACTTTTGGCTTAGTCCTTTGACATGAAAGTGTTTTTGCTTTAATTGTATAAATGTGATAATGTGAGCAGAGATTCCAGGACATGATACCTTTTCATATAACTGCCAGTGATAATGAAAACAAAATTTACACTTAAAGAATGAGCAGAGAAATAATTTTCGAGTGAAATTGTCATTTAATAGGTAACCAGCTCTGTGTTTCCTTACAATAAAATCTATGAACTCCTATTTTTCCTACATGAGATGGCTGGAGAAATTAGTTCTGTTTTGTCATTGCAAGAAAAAACCCCAATAACGTAAAAATATTAAAAGGCACCTTTTTTTGGTTTTGTTTTAATACAACTCTTATTTTCTGTGATTCTAGAGCTTTGTTCTTTTTGCAGCATATACCCTTGTGCAATGTATTGCATTATTGTCTCACTGTAATTTACTTACAGCTGACTGAAGTCTAAAAATAATCATCAGCTCATGTTTCTGTTCCCTAAGCTGAGCTATTAACTTGTACAATATAAATCTGTCAAATACAAGAATGATTGATCCAAGTAAGCTAAAGAAAAAAAGATGTTCAAATGCTCCCTGTTAACATGTAAATTACATTAACATAATCTTGAATTAATCATATACACTAGTTTGTAAAGTGGCTGCCTTTTATATAATGGGGAAAAGCTACAGAGGTATTTTAGCTATGATTGTGCTGCACATTGACAAGTGTGTGCAAAACACAGTTGCTTTCTGATAGATGATTCATCCAGCTCCTAATCACTGCTGGAAGGTTAAGAGGGAACCTCCTGGGGCCCCTGGAGCGTGCCACACTGTTGAGCCTGCAGAAACATCAGCTTCTAAGCTGGTGTCCTTGGCAAGTACCCCAGCTCCTCAGCCAAAACCTTGTCCCAAGTGCTGATTCAAGCTCAGGTTGGAGCACAGCACCAGGGAGCAGCAGCTCTGCTGCTCTCCTCATCCCCTCATCCCTATGGGAATGAGGACCAAGACTGCCCTGAGAAACAGCATCTTAGGATGCAACACACGGCACATTTAATGTGCTGTCAAAATGCAAGCAAGTGCAGTAATTCATAAATGCTCTGTTTTCTCAGAGCCTAGTAGCTTTTGCCTTTAGAATACCAGGTGGTACTAATCTATTTTATTAGTTTGTAATTTATACTGAAATAGAAGATATAAAGAGACCACCTCCGAAACTGTCAGCTTTTAACTTACAAGACTTTGCATGTTATTGGAAATTCTGTCATGAACAGGCATTACAATCTGCCAAACCCCTTCATTGTTTATGTCTAATTGTACTTGCAGGCACAGAAATAAGAAACAGCTGAACCATAAGTGTGCTCAGCACAAATTAATTATTGTGTAAAATAAACACTATTGTTGGCTTGTGTCTCACTACAGGGGGTTATAACATCAATGATGTCACATTTTACTGGACCAGAGGAAATGATTCAGTTCGAGGTTTGGACACACTCCAGCTGGCACAGTACACAGTAGAAGACCACTTCACCTCTGTAACTGAAGCCGTGTACGAGACAGGTACAAACACCCCTGTAACACTTCCTGGGTGCACTTTGAACTGTGTCTTTGGAAACAGAGCAGCATTAAGGAACTGAGCACATTGCTTTCTGTTAGGCTGACAGTTTTCATGTTCTCATAATTAAGTTCTTGAAGCCATAAATACTTCCCAAGTTCCAAGCAGAGAGCAAGCTAATGTAAAGACTGAGCATTTTCTTGGAGGCTACACATTATCTAAAGAATAATAAACAGGAATCTACTGCTCCTTCCACATAATGTCAGGGAGAGCTCTTGTGAAGGAAGAGGAGCATGTAATTGGGCATTTAAATTGGAGACAGACCAGGGACCTGGGAGTACCCAGCTCGGATCAGCCATCCTGGCTTTATAAGGCAAGTCAAAAGCCTCTATTCATCTGTGGAAATTCCAAGAATATGCTGGGTGCTTTCACAGCTGCAGGAATTTGAGGTTCATGGCTACTTCTTGCAGGAGTTGCTCTGTTTCTGTGGCAGCCCAGCCTGGTGGGCAGCAGGGAGCAGATTGCTGCACCTGGGGCTCCTCTACCCAGGGAAGGGTCAGGAGCATTTCCAGACCTGCTCGTCTGCTGAAACTGCTGTAGGAAGTTTCCTCTAACTGCAGGACTTAACCTCAGGGAACAGTGTGCCCTTGTTTGTTTTTCAGAGATTTGGAAAGGGATTCAGAGATTTCAAGACCTGCCAAACCTTTTTGTTCTTTGAGTTACTCTCAGATCCTTCATTGCTGCTTCTCACTGTGTACCTGGTTTCTCTTCTTCTCTTTCCAGCACACCCATGCAAGGATGTGATCTTTAAATCGAAATACACATGTCCTTCAAAACTGCAGTTCCACCAGAGGACATGTTCTAATTCTGAATCACAGAAATATAGTTTCTCTATTCCATTATTGGGTATTTCTGTTTTAATAATACAACACAGAGAAACTTGTGATCTAATTTCAGGTATTAATTCAGGCTAAGAAGTCGAAGTTCTCTAAATGGATGTAAAAGCAAAAATTAAATGCATACCAACAGGCTCTAGGATCACTGAGTTTCTTGCTACTTATGTAAGTGACATCTGCTTGCCTTCCTCCTCTTTACAGCTTCTGGGTAAGCAGCATCAAGTTCAATCAAAGAGGAATATTCTTTTACTGCTGTTCTGCCCAGAAGGGTACTGGGACCTGGTCACCATACAGGAAAGTGGAAGAGGAAACATTCTTAATTCCTGTCATATTCTATCAAAGAATCAGGAGGTTAAAGACAAAAAAAATTGGTTGTTTTGTTTGTTTTTTTTGTTTTCGTTGGTTGGTTTTTGGTCTTGTTTGTTGTTTCCAATTAGAGTTGAAGAGGCATGATCAGATGAACTGTACTCCCAGTAAATGTTGCTTTCTTCCTCCTATTGTGTTGGCAGGAATCATGTATGAAGTCAAAAGCCCCTTTTTGCTGTAATTATACATTTTAAGACACACAAGTTAATTAGATTTATATTTCTCACACCTGCTTTTTTCAGCTTTCCTGTTCAAGAAAGCCATGTTATCAAGTGTTATGCAGTACTTTTAAAATTTAATCTCCTAATCCTCTTAATTTTCTATGGAGACATTCTGAACTAGGTGCTATTTTCTACAGGTTTTTTTGGAGAGCAGTGCCTACTGTAGGCTATATTAAAAGAAAAAAGCAACCAGATTATGGAGCTGCGTAATCAATTTTGAAATGAAAAATGATGCTTTGCATGTCCTCAGTGCCATTAATAGTTATGAGAGTAGTTTATAAAGAACAATTACATTATAAATAACAGCTATTTATAATCACTACAGTTCAAAGGGCTAAAGCTAAAGTTATGAGAGAAGACCTGTGTGCAATATTTCCTAACACAGCATAAAAAGCAATCAGGGTTTGATACTCTGTGAACTTGAACAGAGAGTGCAGCTGCTGTGCAAGTGAAATATTGTACAGCAGTGCAAAACCCACGTACAGCCACTGACAGAGCCAAATTTAAAATGCAGTCAGCAAAATTCCTGCATAAGTAACTTCAGTAAATTTAAGAAAAGGACACAGTGGATTAATCTTGTTTGTAGAACAGCATGTATCACATAATAGTAATCATATTACTGTAATCACATAATAGTAAGTCACTTTGAATAACTTTAGCTAGATTTCTGGCTATGGTTTGGTGTTGATTTTGTTTTGGTACAGAACAATTTCATTTTGCATTACATGGGTAATTTAATTGTTAGAACCATTTCCTGCATATCTTTAACTCTAGTCCTTATTCTTCATACACTGATAAACTCTTGGACTCCCAGACCATATTATCTGCATCAGTGGGTGCTGGGTTTTTATTTCAGCTGTCCAGCCAACACCACCTGCATTCTCAGAGTAATAAATGCTAAAATAAAAGCTGGCTTTCTTACTGGAAAAACATAAAAGCACTGAAGGACTGTTACAGTGCAGCTTTTTGTATAAATAGTCATAGAAATAAGGCTGAAATACATTTTAAAAATTCATTTAATCTATTCTCATGTCACAAGGCAAGGCCATCTATATCTGCAGCCTACTTCCTGACAGATGTTTCTAGGAGTAAGTCAGACAAACCTCCAAAGTGTCTGCTTCACAGCCTCCCTAGATGATTTTTTCCTGGTGTTTATTACACGCATATTTTCCTCATGCCTAATCTTGATCTCCCTTGCTGCATTTCAAACCCATTATGTGGATATTGAAGATGAATGTCCTGCTATTTTTTCAGCAGCCTTTTCACTGTTTCACGACTGATACATCTTTCCTTAAACCAACATTTTTCCTCTTTTTAAAATTCATATAAGCAATTTTCTCAATATACTGTCTTTGCTATTGTTCTCCCATTGAATTCTCACCTCTTTGCTGGTATGCAGCACCCAAAAATGAGTTCCCTTAGATATCCTCTGAGGATGGAAAGGTTTACATAATGTTTTCCATGGAGTCTGTTCCTCTTTATCCATTCTAGGCTGATATTTGCCTTTCTTTCAGAGAATTATCATGCAATTTTGACCTTGTTCAGCTAGTGATTCCTTCTAGTTCTCTGACTTCTTTTTTGCTCTGTAACCACATATTCCCTGAGTTCTGGGAGCTGGTGATTCCCATCTGATTGCTGGACTTCATACTTGTTGATTTCCATTGTTTTACTTGGGTTATAATATTTGGTGAGATATTTTTGAACTCTAATCCTGTTCTCCAACGTGCTGACTCCACTCCTAACACACTCAGGGCATGTCATCATGTTAGGGAACAGTTTTGGGCACAGGACAGACCTAATGTGTTCCTACTTGATAAATGCTTCTGTTTTCACAGCAAGTGATAGATAATTAATCTCAAATTCCATTTTTAGTTGGAGAAAGAAGCAAAAACATAAATTAAAATTTCATGCTGTTTGGCTGTTGATAGCTTTTTTCCCAGTGCTTTTCCTTAAGTCTTGCACCCACTGCTCAGCCCTCCTGTCAAGTCCTTGGCAGCAGCAGGAGTGAAGAGGCTCAGCTTGCTCAGGTCTGGTCTAATGCTGTCTTCAGCCCAGAGGCAGGCAAGGCTCTTGGTGCACGTCCCCACTTTGAAAATGTTAACAAATTGGCATACTCGAATGGTTTGTTTGGCAGAACAGAAGCACACATTAAATCTCTGCTCCTTGATGCACGAAGACAAGATGTTTGCTCTGTTAAAAAGACTGCAAAGGTTGCTGGCTGCTGTTCTGTCTGCAGTTGCTGCCAGGGTTTTGATGTCTATCTCAAACCCTGCTCCAGCCTCCTTAGGCTAGAGGCCCATCAGCCCTGGTGTGGCTGTGCAGTGCTGAAGCTCTGTGGCCCCCTGGCCACTGCATGTTCTCAGCTTCTCAGGGGGGATGTCACAGCTAAGCCTGTGAGGAGCTGCTCTCATTTAGAATTAGTGATCTGAAGTCAAAATGTATGCAAACTACGTACAGATTATATAAAGTTTGTATAAGAGTGTGTGTTCATCAGTCATGGTCTCTTTCTAAATAGAAGCCTTGCTTTGTCCTACAGGCTCATCTGCAATTTTCCAAGCTTCAGGAGATTATTTAGTTAATAATCAAGTTTTTCTAGGTTTTTCAGTACTTTTCCTTTTGAGGTAGGTTGCACTGAATATCTTCCCCTATTCCCATTATCAGTTCTTTTATTGTCTCTAATTGCTCTCCAATTGTTACTTCTGAGAGCATATGGAAGGCTCACAAAGAATTCCAGAGCTGTATTCAGAAATAATCCTACCTGGTGGGTCTTCAGTCAGCCTCACTTAAAATTCAAACAATTACCTATACATATTTATCTGTTATTATGTTATGTCCAATTTACTTATCTGAGCTCATAGGATCCCTCTTTGTAAACAAGCTTTTCCACTTGAGTTGATGTTTTCCATCATGAGTCAATTCCGAGATACTGCTGCAATGTAGAACAGTTTAGAAAGAAAACAGTTTTGGAAATTTTGAAAAAGTTACAGTAACATGAACCCACATGGAAATGCAATGAATGGAAAGAATATCAAGGATATTAGAAGTCATTCTTTTATTAACTCCTCTGAAGTTCTTTATGGCATAGACATAAATATACCTGAACACTTGGAAAACTTTCAGTGGCATAATTTTTGTTTGTTTGTTTGGGTTTTTTTGTTTGGTTGGTTTTGGTTTTTTTTTTTTTTGTTTGTTTGTTTTCACTTTTTTTGTGGTTTTATTGGCTTTTTATGTTTGTTTGGGGTTTTGGTAAGCAAAGTGGATAAATATATGTGCACGCATGCACAACATGAAAGGGTTTGTTTCATTCTTAGTAAGTCTGAATTTCAAACTTGTTTTTTTAAAGCATTTTCATGAAGATGAAACACATGTTGAGAAGCCTGGCCTGAACTTTCATTTCCTTTAGTTCATCTCTGAAAAGCAAGTAAGAAAAGAAAGAACTAGTTTGTAAGATCTAGACTATGAACAGAAGACTGTTTTTTCTCTGAGGGAGGGGCAAAGGAGCTGTAATAACATATTAGCAATTTATATTGGCACATTAGCATCCTGCAGCAGTCGGAGAATTGCATTTCAGTTGCACAACTTATTTAATGTGTAAAAGTGGGGACATTCTGATTACTCACTGCCTGTGTTCATTATAAATAAGCAATAACAAACCTGCACATCGAAAACTACATTTTCTATTTTTTCTATTTTTTCTATTTTTTCTATTTTTCTATTTTTTCTATTTTTTCTATTTTTTCTATTTTCTAGTCTTCTATTCTTCTATTTCAAGCTCTCCTGTCCTCTGTCCTGAGGCAAGATGAGAAGGAAATGATGCATTGGTAGAACTACACTGACGTGCTTGTGTGAGCTGTACATCACACATTTTAGCAGACACCCAAGGGGTTAGCATAAATAATTCATGAGAGAGAAAAGGATGCTCTTTGAGCCTGGCTGCACACCCCTGTGCAGGACACCAAAGTGTTTCTTACGTAAAGAGTGATGTGGAGCAGCCTCTTAGTGGAGTAGAGTTCAGCAGAAAGTGGTTGTGGGGAAGACAGTCCCATCCCAAAACACTCAGAGTGGAAATTAGGAACTGCTGAAAGTATTTATAGAGAATCAGTCCTTCCTTAGTTACCATTCACTAGTCAGAGATGCTGCAGAAAATTCAAAGGTGCAGCATTCTGCCATCAGCTGGGAACAGACACCACAGAAAAATGAGATAATCCGAAAATGAATGACCTAGGGTGAACAGGAAGCTTTAGGCTTATGTATTTCTCAAGCAGTGCAGCAATAGTCATTGTTGACAGAATCATCAGTGGCAAGTCTATACAAAGTGTCCGATAATCAGAACCATAAATTAGAATATAATTTTAAAAGCCAAAATCCAAATTTCATTGGCAAGTTGTAAAATGACATAAACTAGTTTTTATTGCCTTCAGAAAGATCTGACTTAGACCTAGCCCTAGGCCTGCTCAGCTACTGAGAAAGAGCCTGTGCAGGTACAAGTTTTATGACACTTTAACAACAGTGGCCAGCTGGACCTTTTTCTACTTTTTAGGGTACTTAGCAGTAGAGAGAGTTAGAGTAGGTATGGAGGCTCTCATCTGCTGTTTGGGTTTGTTCTTCATCTACAAGTTAGAGCTACTGTCTACTTCAGTGCTTCTGCTCTCCTAAATTCTATAAAGCCCAAATCACTCAGCTTAATGTTCTTTTGCTGTGGGGTCACCTAAGTAGAATACCTCACCTTGTGGTGTGTTTAGAGTGTATATATTGACAGTCATTTAAGTTCAGGTTCATCTGAGAAACTGTTACACAGAGTAATCCAATACTTTGGTAAGTGCTAATGCTGTTCCTTTGCTGCAGTTAGATATCTGCACAGAAATTATTTCTATCATGTTAACAAATTTAAATCAGAGCAGTGTCACACTGAGATGACATTCATCATGGGCCAGAAACTTGAAAGAAAAAATATATTTTCATTTTAATGCAAGTATTTTGTTGGCAAGCAAGTGGCAAACTTGAGTTTTCAGGAGTTAATTTGAGCTGTACTAGAGGTAACTCTGGTAAAGTCAAGACTAGGATTTCATGAACCTGTTTCAATTTTGATCTAGCTGGTGGCACCACGGTCTCAGATATGCCAGTCAAAGGCAATGAGGTACAGCATTACTCTCTTGTATGCAGCTCACGCAACAGGAGCAGCAAATCTGTTCTTTTAAAAGATGATAACTTTTGGTACATGTGTGGTGTAGATGAAAAAGGGACTGCAATATTTCCCTATCTTCATTTTATCCCATTGCTCATTTCTTTAGCATGATAAGTATGCACTGAATACTTTTTCTTGACTACTGCTTCCTTCAGTTTATTACAGGAGGAGCTCTGATGAATTCTATATATAGGTTGCTTCAAAATTTCCATTATAAAAGCTCTTCTGAACTCTTTAGAGAAATGCTGACACTACTATTATCATGTCCATGATATGCCTTTGGATTCTGGCAAGAAGAAAGCCTTAAGGTTAGAGAAATACCTCTTTTTTGTTCTCCAAAAAGCCACTCAGCTATAAACTGTTACATCTCTATTTCTCTTTGTTCACATTACTTCAGAAATTTCTGGCATCATAAAAAATAAAAACACCAGAATATTCAAAGGATTTGTCTAAACTTGGAAATTTCAAACTGTGGCTTTTAAAATTGATATTTTGAACCAACCTCCCATGTAGGCACTTGACTTTTCTACTGAGGTAAACAGAGATACAGTTGAAGGGTACTAACAAGGAGAGGGTGTTATTGTATGGCTGTATTGGCTGTTTCAGAGTTTTCCTTCTTAACAATGAGCTCTTCTAAGGCTGAACCACAGGAAATCCCAGGTGCCTGTGGCACTCTGCAGGAAGGATGGTCTGGTCTCTTCACTCCCCTTTGCTGAGCACGTGGCAACACATCCTTCCCTGTGGTCAGCACAGCAGCACTACACAAACAGCTTTTGTGGAGTATTCACTTCTCTTTCCCTAAATGTGCTTTGTGCTGTAGGCTTTTGTTGCACAGACTCAGTGCTTTTCCATGGCACTGTGCTCATTTCAGAGCACAGATGAGTGCAGACAGACAAAGTAAGGTCACACAGTCATCTCTAAGTTTTTCACTCCTTGACTTTTGAGTGCTTCACTTTGGTCTGCATACACTTAAAATCAGTTTTGGTGAGCAAAATGGCATTTGCTGAAACAGCTGTGTTGGTAAAAGTCACAGCTTTCGTAGAGGTATGCTGGTGTAATGTCCCTGTTTTCCAGTAAAAATGCTGATAATGGTGTAAAAGATGTTTGTACCTCTTGCCTCATGGAGATAGTTTAAGTGTAATGTTTGTACCCTTTCTTTCAGTTGGACACTTGAGGATCTCAGTAAACTGACTTTACAAAGAAGAACCCTAAATACAGTGTGTTTTTACCTTTAGAAGGAGAAAGAACTGACTACCCAAAGACTGTTCATTTCAGTAAGGAAGAGATGGTCTATGTGGCAGAAAACAAGTCAATATTAGAAATTAGGCATTCATTCTTAGGAAACAGAATTATTTATTGAGAGAAATGGTGGATGCTGTGTGTCTAGATATCCTCAAACTAAGTCTTCATGTCTGTGTGAAAGGTGGGCTCTATTCCAACCAAAATGATTTAGTTCAAAGCAAGGGATAATGAAGGAAATTTAATGGCTTCTGATTAGGGTCAGACTACATAATCTTGCAATACTTTCTGCTTTAAAAATCCTGTTAAAGGTCTCTTGATGCAATGCATACAATGCTTTCAAGAATGGAAATTTAGCCATCCATTTTCTCATCTGGGAGCAATAAGACATTTCTTGGCAACCACTGCTTACACTTCAAGCTTTTTAAAGTGCTCTCCTTTGTGTCTCACAGCACACCTGAGGGATGCACAAATAGCCTGTCTGTGCCTATATTGTTGTTGCTAAAGTGAATTCACTGTTCTGTAGTTCTGACCTGACTCTCAGCAGGCAGTATTGGAAGCAAACACTGGTGCCAGAGAATAGGTTTTGCTTTAAAATAGCAGAAGCCAAAGCTGTCTGACTACAGAGCATTAGTCTCTCACTGATATTTCACTGACATGCAAATGGCATTGAAATGGTTTTGTAAAAACTTAATAACACTTAATTTGCAACCTGGAACTTCAGAACAAGAAGTCATTTCTGCCCATTAAAAAAGCAAGATTTTGTTTTCCTATAATGCATTGAACTGGTAACAATTTCAGGTCGTGTGGTTCAACACATTCGAATTCTGCTCAGTTACTGAGCTGGATAAGAAATTCAGGCTTTGCTTATGAGTGTGCTGTCCCCTTATGAAACACAGTTCTGTATTTGACTCTGTGATCCCAAAAGTTCATCTTCTGGAAATCATTCATTTAGAAACAATTTATGCCACAACAGTGACACTGCTCAGAGCAACACAAACACTCTAATGCACTAATACAAAGGAAAAATAGATTGAGGATGCAAAGATACTGCTTGGGTTTAAGTGGAATAAAAGAGGTAGGTCAGCAATTTCAGAGCAGGTCCCCTCAATCCACATCTTGAGCAATAGTAAATGAAAACAAAAGAAAAATAAACTGGATGTGTGAGATAGTTAAACCTGCGCCACCTTCATGAAATGACAGTCCTTACTGCTGTAGTTTGTATAGTAGCTCTCTCATTGTTATGAATAGTGACAGCTAAATCCATATGTGATTTCAAATTTCCTTGCCTTGTGTTATATAATGAAACATCCTCTTCATGCATTGATGGATTTATTTTTTCCTTCACTAATCCTCATTTAAATACCAATTCAAGGTGTCTTTAATAAAACTGCATATGGTGACTGAATGTTACATATTTGATTGTTTCCTTCAGTTCAGAGTCTTCAATCTGAATTTGTCAGTGCCGTGTTTAATTTTTATAAGCTTGTTTGTTAAGCTCTTATCACACTGTAGTGCACCAAAGTAATGCAGGTTGTTATTTCAAAGATCTTTTCATGAATTTCACCTTCACAATGTTTTTTTCCCTGCTCCTTCCACAGGACGTTACCCAAAACTTGTGTTTCACTTCGAACTCAAGAGAAACATCTTGTATTTCATATTAGAGACATATGTACCATCAATCCTTCTGGTGGTGCTCTCCTGGGTATCGTTTTGGATAAGTCAGACATCAGTTCCAGCCAGGATCTGCATAGGTGAGAAGCTGATAAACCAACCCAAGCCAAGGCTTGGATCATTAAGGTGCCTTCTTTATTACATGTACTTGGCATCCATTTCCTGAAATTGCAAACATTTCTGGGTTTTATGGAGTTAGTTTCTGGGTTTTCCATACTCTGTAAATCATGTGGATTCCCCTTAAAGCCTTGCTATTCTTTAACTAAGAAAAATGCCTTTGGCAGCTACAGGAAGGAGACTTATAGGCAGGGGAAGCTGCTGAAAGCAAAGCAAAAACTGTCATTTTGGAAATAATTTAAACATATTCAAATACATGGCATGCACAGACAATTGTGAGGCTTTTGTGAGGTCTAATGATACATACTAATTAACACATGAATAACAAGAGAATTATAAGAGATTAAATATAATTAATTTCAAATAAAGGATATTCTGAAAGGGAAAGAATGCAAATCAGGTTTGATCAGGCTGCAGGTGGGATGGAAAAAACACTCCTACAGAACAGGAAATAAAGAAGGATTTCACATTGAATGAGGCCAGTGGGCAACCACACTGAGCAAAATGATATCTGAGTATTTTAGAGGGACCTTTTGCATAGATTTGCAGTAATAATGTGTTAATCATAAATATACATTCCATGACATCAAAATCTCTCTCATTTTAATTTCTAGTCTTCTCAGCTTTGCTAACATTTTCCGTTGCTGTTTTTAAGCATTTAAGTTCAGAGTCACACGTTAATTTTGAAAGTCTTCTACCAAAACCATGACCCATCAAATGCTATGGCATCCTAGGAGTTTCAGGTCTAGGAGGGAAAACTCTCCTGCAGTAGGGCCCTTGCAGTAGAGGCCCTCAGTGCCATCTGTGTTACACTAGAACATATATTTTTCCATTCCACAGGTGTCACCACAGTCCTTACAATGACAACACTGATGATGGGAGCCAGGACTTCACTCCCAAATGCTAATTGCTTTATTAAGGCAATTGATGTGTACCTTGGTATCTGCTTCAGCTTCATCTTTGGAGCACTGTTAGAGTATGCTGTGACTCATTTCTGCACTCTGCACCAACTCAGCTCAAAGGAACTTCCAAAGGTATTTTAATTATTTGGTTGTTGACTACAAATTGGATTTAAATTACACCTACTAAAAAGAATGAATTCTTTTAGCACTAATGGTAAATGTGTTTAAGGTAGCTTCTTTTTTAGAATTAGAACAGGGAAACATAATAATCTTGAGAAAAAGAAAACATATTTGTATACCTGGAGCTTTTTTGGAAGAGACCAAACAAACTGAAGCACTCTTCCTTCTCTCTTTTGATATGGGCTTCATGGCCATTTATCAATGTTCTGGATGTCTCACATAAACCACAGGCACTATTGTCTCCCAGGCAATAGCATTTACTCACAGTTCAAAAATTAGGCTGAGCTTGGTGACTTGATCCTACTCCAATATGGAAAAAAAAAGAGTTTATCACATTCCATTTATGAAAGCTGCACATGCATGGAACATGAGTCAGTCTCCTGGCAGATGTCTTCATGTGCTGGGGGTATCAGGTCCCTGTAGGTTTCTGCTCTCACCTTCTCTTTCAACAGCTGCACCTGAAGTCAGGCTGGGATCCATTTTCCCTTCTGCATCACTACTATAACAGTGCTTTTTGTGGCTCTAAAGAGTTTCTCACAACTCTGAAATACCATGAAATACACTTAAAATGAAAATGGATGAAATCAACATAGGTATTTTTGAGTCTGGTGCTTGCTGAAATAATGAGGACAGGTTCATGAAGAAGTTTTGTCACATCTTCTACCTCTAGTGTATAGCAGTGCTCTCATAAGCAAGGAAAAAGAAATCACAAGGAAGCTGAAAGGTGATTGTCTTGCAGCTTTTAATTATGGAACTGAACCTAATATGCATGATAAAAAAGAAAATTTTAAGCAGCTTATGAAATTTCTGGATTAACAGACAAAAGTAAAACTTGGAAAATGAGACTAAAAGGAAAGGAAAAAAAAAGGCAGAAGTTTGGTTGAGTGCTGTAGGGATAAATGTCTAGAGGAAGGAAGACTGTTAACTGTTTAAGCCAAATAGAACAGAGCATCACAAATACCTAAGCAAAGCTCCTCAACATACTCAAGAAACAGGATATTGAGCTTAAGAGAAGAAACTTCAAAACCTTTTGAAGATTGGGCAATATGTGTGTGTATGGGGGGTTATGTTCATTAATTAATATGAGATTTTGGCTGTTTGGATGAAAGACACGTCCTGTAAATGCATGAGAATATGTTAAAAGCTGTTGTTGGGTCTAGATGTATGGAGAAAGGCTGCAAAATGGCCACAAAGCTGAGCCAGCCCAGTGGGTTTTATGTCATAAAGTCTATCAGGGGATTGTCTGCAAATGGGCAAACACTCATTTCCAATGAGGATTTGAGTGGAAAGCCAAGTGATTTTTGTTGGCAAGGTAACATCAGTGACAACTCCCTGTGAGTGTATCCATCTTGTGAAGTAAGTGGTTGTCATTTTGCTCATAGTGTAGGGGGGGAAAAAATGCTGCTTGGAGGTTCAGGTAAGAAAGTAAAGTGTTTCAGTGCTTGGATGATTAAGCATCTTTGGATCTGTGAAGGGCACTTATACTGCCCTTGCCTTCACCTGCCTCTGTCAGATTCCCTTTCATCTGGAGCAGGTACTCATGCTTGCAGAAGGGGTGGGCATGGGAATTTGCAGACTTCAAAAATGTGCATGGAAGTACGTGGAGGTATAGCTGCAAAATGAGAGGGGAAATTTTTGTGATGAACCTGATGACCAAAAGGAGTAGTCTTACACTTTAGGCATGTTTCCTGCCTTCTGCTGGGCATCAGGAGTGGGCGAGCAAGCCAAACACACTTCTTGCCCACACAAAGATAGGGATATAAGAGAAGGAACTATTGTTTAGTCCTAGATAAGGTTCTGACTCTGTAGAATAAAGAAAATGCTTGTCATGTCCTTTTCCTACTGTAGCCAAGGGCAAGCACCGCTTACTGAGCAGGGTGTCATAGAGGGCACACCTGCCTTGTATTTCTCATTTCTTGTAAAAACAAACACATCACAAGGGCAAAAATACCAGCTAAAATCTCATGTCACTGTCTAGCAGGTAGTTAGCAATTTATGTGTGAGTATCGTCACTGTAAATGTGTTGTCCTCATTATCATATTCTCTTGTGGACACAGGTTAATTGGAAATCTCACGTCCCAGCTTGTTATTCCCATATGTGAGCTGATAGAAAATTTGCACTCAGAATTATGTAAATAAACGTAGGAGGTGAAATGGAAATGTCACCCTCTCTCTTGTATAGGAATTAGTTGTACTCACTTGCTTCCCACTTTGCTCTTTGAAGAAGTTGGGCACTGGCATATCAAACCCTTCTGAAGCCCCTGAGATCTCCAGTTTAGAACATAAACTGGTGAAAGAACTCATCATATCCTTTCTCTTGCAATGTTTCACATCGTGTGAACCAGGACCCACAGAGACACCTTCAAAGCTAATGGCAAAAGCAGAGGAGCCACTTGCTGCAAGGAAGGTCAGGCAGAATGTGCCATTCACATCATTTCCAGAACAACAGGCTGTTTAAAAGGAGAGGCTGCCTCTCCTGAGTTTCATCTCTGTTGTGCAAAGGCATTAATTGCGCCCTTTTTATAAATCACAGAAATATTCCTTGGGTTTCCTCTGTCTTTTACCTAAATCTCCATCTTTAAGGCAGAATGGAGAACAGTTTGAAAACTGAAAATAATTTTATCAATGTGATGTTCAGCCTCTGTGGTGTTTCTGTGCAAGGTTCATGCAGTCTTTATGAGCACCACTTAAGGTCCACATGTGCAAAGCTCTAGGTTGAAATATTTTTAAACTTGAACAGCTTTATTATCCAGTGAAAGTGACAACTTTCCTCAATTCTGTTGGCTCTTGGATGTCAGCAAACACTTTGCTTAGTGTAAACAGCAGCCACAGCAGCAGGTGTCATAGACAGTGCTTTTTGAATGATGTACAGCATCTTTCCTGGATGGTATCAATTTGGTATCTAAACAGAGCCCTTCTTAGTGCCAGCTGCCATTTCCTCATTGGCAGCTGGCATCCAGAAAAAAACCTAGAATGACGTTTAAAATTGGAGCCACATCTGAACATACAACACCATTTCCTTTTTTTTTTTATTTAATGTAAAGCAGCTCAGTCTTTCATCATGCTCAGTTCTCCATAACAATCTGGAAAAGTCCCTTGATAAACCCACTCTATAAGGCTTCAGTTTTTTATAAATTAGCAGGTATGGTTCTCTTCTAGACTAGCTCTCTCCTTTCCAAGCTATGTGATACAGCACTTTTGCTGTAAACTCCCCTCTGTTTTGCAAGAGCCCTGCCTTGTTGCACTGCAAATAGAATCCTGTACATATGCACTGCTTATGGTATTTTCTGCTTAAGTAAGAACTGCCCCTTGGGGAGCTGAAAGGAGTCAAGAACAGCCTAATAACACATCAGCCCCCTGGGAACTGCTCACATGCAGTTGTGAGAAAGGAAAAGTGGCACGTACACAACGTCCTTTCATGCTCTGAAATGAAACTAATTCTGAACATCTTGTAGCCAGCCCTACCTGAGAGAAAAATAGACTCCTAAAACTGAGCAATGCCCCAAATCCTGATGGTTTTGAAGTACAGATGTTGTAATGAAAAATGAAAGCGGGGGGGAAAAGTCAGGACTCTTCTGTCAGGTTCCTTTATTTTATTAACTTTTGAAGTGCTGAGTGCATTCATTAGGCTGTGGCTCTGGTGCCTCATTTCAAGTACCAGGCACTGCTGACAAAGGCTCCTCTGCCATCCCCAGCACTCCCTTCAGCTGCCTGAAATTTTTGAAGCAGAAGAGAGATATTTATAACAGAGTCAGGCCTCAAGTAAAAACTCGAGGTTTGAATTTTAGTACTATCCTGGGGATTATTTAAGGTTCAGACTGGAATTTTATGGATTGATCCTCTTAATGCTTTATAGGCAGATTTTTATCCCAGCCTTTCACTCGGAAGTGTGGGAGGCAGGGTGGAGGATGACCAAGGTTTTTGGCCAGGGTATTTTTAGGCTGATAGGTTGTGTGGAGCTACATTTATCTCTGAAATAAAATATCCCATTTTTTTAATTGAAAGTGGAAAGCTGTAATAATGCCTTTTCTACCACCATTTGTTCTGCTTCGCTGATTCACAGCAGTTTGAGACATTGTCCTGACTCCACTTTAATTTTCAAGCGTGTCAGTAATTTTAGATAAAGAAGACTCAAGGCTTGTGCTGTACACATACACCTTGGGTAGAAGAGCAATTCTATACTGGCATGGAGACTACTTAGGTGGCTTAATGAGCTTTCTTTGACTTTAATAGCTGGGATAGACCTAAATGAGCTTTTTGTCTGGCTGCACATGGGAATGTACATCTTAACCTTTTCAAAGTTTGTCCTTGTGTAAACTGTTTCTTCTCACGATGCAAATGGGAAAAAGCAAGTTGGTCAGAAGAAACAGATTCTGCATTCAACAGTTCACAAGTAATATTTTTAGACTTGTCTTACATTTATTCCACCTACTGATTTGGGAGGTAATAAAATATCAAGAGAAAATTATAATTATATGTATGCCTACCTGAATTAAAATGACCCCTCCTCAAAGTATACATGATAAGGTTTGGTTCAGATACAAAATTTGAGCCAGTCTTTGTAGCTTGTTTCTCCTTGTGTCTCAGCAATATCCCAAGCCAAACTAAATACCCCAGAAATTCCAAGAAAGTTTCAGAGCTGAAGCTGCAGCTGATGTCTAATCCTGTGTCCTCTGAGCCAGTAACAGAAAACCCACTGACTTCAAAGGGTGAAAATTTAATACATGAACTTTATGGCTCTGAGCCATTTCTAATCAAAGAAACAAAACCCATCAGAAGGCTTATACAACATTCTCCAAAGACCTGTCTTGATGCAGTGAAGCACATAAAAAATATTCTTAACCCTACCATGACTTTGAACTTAAAGCAGGGGTTTTAGGACTTGACAAGAATCAACTGTGGGTGGGGCTTGTCCCTTTCTATTTTTAAAGTAATTTGATTTTTTAGTCACAAAGTACCAGAATGAAATAGCCAGTTGCACACAAGGAGAGTGTGTTATATCCTGGGGTGCTTGATTTGGGGTGCAACCAGCTCAGCTGGCTGGTCAGGCAGCTCCCCCACCTTCTCCATCTCCAGGCTGAGGTTTGCCTTCACACTTTCTGGGCACTAACCTTTGCCAGCATTTGCCCTGAGCAGAAGGCAGTTTACTGCTGTGCATTTCAGGGATTTGCTGTTATCTTAAGTGAAGTTCCTTGTCCATATTTGAACAAATCCAGATTTGCTTGATAGTCCTTCAAAAGTTTTTGCTGTACGGCATTGCTTAAGTCAATGTTTTCCCCATAAATGGGGGCTTTGAGAGCTGAAAGGAGCTGCCTGGAGCATGTAAGAGCTTGTCCTTGAAGTCAAGGAGTGAGACAGAGGAGTCGTCACAAGAAAAATCCCATTTGCTGCAGCTCTAAAGTAAACAGGTGATGAAACATGCACTTAAGTACCTGCGGTTTTGTTCCTATCAGATTATTGATGATGATGATGATGAAGAAGAGAAGAATGGAGTCCTGGCAGCAGTGACAAACAGCTGCAGTGCCCCTGACAACACGAACGAGACTGATTCAAACAAAAGCAAACAAACCAGCATTGACAGAAAAAGGGAGAGAAGCCAACACAGTGTGTGTAGTTCAGCAATGTCAGTAATGAGAAGACTTTTCTGTATCTTTGATTGCTTCCATGTTAAAAATCCTTACCACATAGACAACTATGCCAGATTCTCTTTCCCATTATCATTCATCATAATTAATGTACTTTATTGGGTTTATTATTTGTATTTCTAAATAATTTATTTTATAATATTAGTTTAATGTTTAGAAAGTGGACATGGGAGGGGAAGTCGCAGAAAAATTGAGAAGGTACATTTGGATAAAGGGATACAAATGCCACCTTTTCAAGAGTGTCTGAAAATTCTGTTAACTCATTTTTCTGCTTTTAAATGTCTGTCATCCAAAACTGACTTTGTATTAGCATGCATGTCCCATATAAAACTACTTATCAAAGGCCAGTAAGTCCTTTTTTTTTATATTTAATGCTCAACTTTGTAAAATAAGAATTATATTATACTTGTTTCTGAACTCCACGGAATAAATGTAAAAATAAAATGTTGTTTTCCTTTTCTGCTTTCTGTACTCAGTTCCTTCTTGTTTTGTCATAGTCCATACATATTCCAGATTATATAAGAAAATGTTTAATTTCAGATCAACGTGGTTTTGCTACGTATCAAGAAACAGTTTTGAAAACATGAGCTAAACACAAACCAAATAATCCTTTAACCTTTGTAAGGTCACAAATACGTGTTAAGATCCCTCTACATCTTTAGGCAGAACTCCCATAGTCATCAATGGCTTTTCTCAGTAAGTGCAGGGCAGACTACAGAAATAGACTGGATCCATAAGGTTTACATCCAGAGAGATGTATTTCCCTGAGCGAGGATTTAGTTGTTCACCAATCCTTAATGGAAAATGGCAATTTATCCTGACGTTTGTATTCTGCTCAGTTAAACTGCCTGGGTAACTACTATGCAGAGGAAAAATTTGATATGCTTAATTTTCAGCTTAGTAAATCCCCTTGAACTGCATTCAGTTAAAAAAAAAATTCACATAAAGGTGGAAAAATTCTTGAATAGAAAAGAAAACCCTGTATGTGTGATAGCTCTTAATAAAATAGGAAAAACTTTACACAGATAAAATGATGACCCACATGAAAAAATGGTTACAGGGGATGAAAAACCAAAACAGTCTTTCCAAGTGGTTACTTCACTGACAGGTACTTGTGTCTTACACTGCAAGCAAGGAAGTTTAAAGGCTTATTATTGTACCTTTTTCCTGACCATAATCTATGTATCTGTTGCATATGTAGGTATAAATGTGTGCATGTGCTTTTATGCACTGTGTATCTCGGCATTTCTGATGATCAGACTCACTGCATACATGTAAATGCATTAAAAAGCTCCCCTAACATGGACACTCTTGGACACACCTTATCACCAGGGTGCTGCCTGTGAAGAACATGCTACATAAGAAGGAAGAAAGTGTAAAATACCAGACTGAGACAGATTTGATCTTGCTCCCATCTAAATCCATAAAAATCACTGCACACTGGTAGACAATTATTAGGTCACTAAAATTCCCTCAGTATTTTTATTTTCTAAAGGTTGACTACTGAAAATTTGTTGCTCTGCTAATATTAGTAATACTTTTTGCCGAGCTTATTGAGGCAATGCGATTTCAAGACCAGTCTAGTGCCTCTTGATACCTTGTGGCTATTCTCATTTCCATATGGAAGTAAATACATTCAAGAAATCAAACTAAGGCTGCCTGTGCTAATGAGCAACAATAAAACCAAAATCTATTGTTTTATTTAACGTTCTGCTACTGCATATTTAACCTTAAACTCTTTATTCAGAATCAGGCTATATGACTTTTTGTTCTTGGAGGTGTAAAACTGGACTCCCAGGTTTTTTCCAATTTTTTTCTCCCATAAGCTTCACAGACAACAAATACTAAATCTTTGTACTTAGTTTCTTAAATCTGAAGTTTACATTGCTCCTGGATCTTTTCAAACAGTTACCTGTCATGTTAACACCAAATTTAGGATTAACATTTACTGCAGGCATAAAGTAAGCATTTAGTTTTTTAGCTTCCAATTAAGTTTGAGACAATTCACCTTACATATTATTTTTAAGCGCTGTTGAAAGTCTGAGCATATTTATTTACAAGTGCACTAGCTGAAAACAGGATCTGTTTTCCCACTGATGTGCTAATTGTAAGTAGTGTTATACACTGAAGTCCCCCATGTTTTCATGAAAGCATTGACTGCACAGCCAGATTATTCATTCTTTTGCTTTGCATAATTCTGCATTAATTGCTAATTTCAAAAATAAAACTTGGTTCGAGATGAATTTGTTATAAAATATGTTCCCAACGGATTTCCAGTGTAGTGTTTGAAGAATGAAGAATGAAGAAGATAATTTGAATTATCCTGTTCAAATAGAGTTTCTGTCCCTGGAAACTCCCAAATCCCATGGAGTCAGTCAGAAAAGCTCCCCTAAGTAAGGAGCATTCATGAACAATTCACTGAACACTACAGCTCAGAGGAAAATTAGAGCGGGGGAAGTTTCTTTCAGTGCTAAAGAGCAGGGGCCAAAGTTGAAGGAATGAAAATTACTTTGGTTTCCTATCTGATGTAAAGACCTGGGATTTTTGGCAACCATTTTCTGGTTGATAGTCGAATTTCTGATTTTGATTTTAATGTTTTCCAATCAGAGACCTTCTCAGACTTGTAATTCAGAAATGTTGTCTTTTGAGACCCCTTGAGGCAGACGTACAATGAGGGGCCAAGGCAGGTGAAGGGGTTTATGACAGGAACTGTTGAAGCATCCTTGTGTAGTTTGCTTTGCTGTTAGCAGGATGTGCCCTGCTTTCCATGGATCCAAAGGCAGCAGCCAGCCTCAGGAATAACTTTCCTTCCTTTGGGGAATATCTCCAAGCCTGGTCTTTTAATTGATTCAGCAGCCATCACATAGGTATTCAAGTATTGTGCAAACTAGAAAAACACCCCTGACCTTAGCAAGATCCTTGATATTGTTTTATTTCTTAATGGAAAAGTATTATGAAAATAAAATTCTATGCTGAGATATTTAATCAGATATAATATTTTATTCTTTTTTTTTTTTTTTTTTTTTAATTTTAGACATACGAAGGTATTAATCCTTGCTACCTTTCCTCTTCATCAATTACCTGGTGTTTTAGTGATTCAGCTACACTTTAGGTAAGTACCTCCTGCAGCCTGCTTACTGTGATGCCAGTTGTGGTACTTTAACAGTATTTGAAATATTTCACCTAAATCAAGAGGGAAATACTAAGGAAGGTGATATTTTAGAACAGGTGTTCATTGACCCTCTCATAAAGTGAGAAGGCATTTCAAATCACTATCAGATAATTTCTTTTAAGACATGAACAACTAAATATCCCATCTGAATACTCCAGTCAACACATATGGCAAACATAAGAGAAGGGAATCCATCTGCTAATCTGAGTACCCATTTTCAGCACAGTGGCCTTGTTTATTAAGAGTGCAACAATAACTTAAATAAACTTTCCTGCTTTGTAAGCCTCTTCGTGGTTTTTGTGCTCATTATTTTAAGAGAACTGTTATGCATTTTTGCATGGGAAAACGTAAGAAGAATGAATAAAAAGATGCCCCACGTTGTTACCCTGTAATTCAAAATGAAATCGCCTAAAAGATTATAAATTAAAGAAAACCCACGTACAGCAAAGCTGACGACAGAAAAACAGGACAAGAAGCACAAAGAGGTGAATGTTCTGCTAAGAGCCCCTGCCAGTGGCTGGTGCAGCAGTGTCTGGAGCTCCTCTCCCAGGGCAGGCTGAGGTGCTGGGAATGGAGCTGCTGGTACAATTCACTCCGTGCAGCAGTAGATGGAGCTCATTAACTGCTCTTCATCATCATCCAGCAAATGTAAATGGCAAACGCTAGTTAAGGAGGACTCTAGGGAAAAGCTATTACAAGCTGACATTTGTACTGTGGTAACTGGGTCATGTTTGTAGTGACAGATTAATTAAAGTCAGGCAGGACAGCATTGTCAGCTGCACTATTTTTCCATACTGAAGTTCAGGCTTCTCAAACCTTGGTTGTTGTTTCCACCATTTTAGCCACTGAAATCGAACATATTCTGCCAGTCCACAAAGTAACTTAATAACTGCAGGTTTTAAGCATGAATTTTCTATCCTTCTGCCAAGATTTTCTCCTGCAGGTTATAATGCCTCAAATCAAAGCGTTACAGGACCTCAGTATTTCAAGGCCAGCAGAATACTGGCTCTATTAACAGTTTCCCTATAAAGACTTATGAATCCTAAATAAATCTTCCCAGGTAATTCACTGGAATACTGCTAACTGTTGTCACAAAGATCAAGATAATTTTAAAAGCCGGCTTCAACCAAGAAAATTTCCCTTGAAAGAGGGCTGGTTGAGAAGGTTGGAAAAAGAGCTGTGAGAGTCTTCTGGGCAGATTAACAGGTCACTGCAAGAGCAAGCCCTCTCAACCTGAGAGCTGGAAACTGGAGTGGATTCTTCTTGTAGATTAGTGGGTGCTTGACAATGCTTAAGAGCAGCTAAGGTGGACATAATTTCAAATTCTGTAATGGATTTGCTATCACTTGTTCTATAACTTTATAATTAAAACCAGGGGTCCACTTCAATAATATTGCCAAATTCAGCTTTTCATAATTTTCCATCTGGAGATATCTTTTTTCCCCAGTCCCATCTGACTGTCAAACTTTCCATCCTCAGAAAGAGAAGGATAAAAGGGTATTTGGGGGCATTTCAGTCTCATGATGTGAGTTTACTCATATAATTTGGGTTCTGGGTTTCTTTCCAAATTGGAATGGACCCTATTTTCCTATTCCAGATCAAACACAGACAAAACTTCAGAAGACAAGAAACCCCAGAGAATTTTAGCACCATCACGTATGTGCACAAGCCATGACCCTGATTCATTTTGCAATTCTGCTCTGAAGTTTAATCCAGGTTTAACCACTGGATAACTTAATCTGTAAAAACACACAAAGATCTCCACTACTGTTGCTTTCCTTGCTTTAGCAGGTAATTTTGGAACCTAGACAGTGAAAGGGTTTGATGCCAGGCTTATTTGATTTCTCCTAAAGGCAAGGAATTTAATCTTTCTGCTTTAAAATCAGATCAGGAATGGATTCAGGATAGCAGCTCTGGTTCTAGCTGGGGCTTGACCACTTTGGATGCAGAT